GCTAGAAAACCGCTCGGTTCCACCCCTTCAAAACTTCAGAAAAACGCAACGGGTACCTCAAGGGCGTCGCGCCTATGGATGCTCAGCAGAAGAACATGGAGCTCCTAGCCTTCTCATGCAGCCGAGATAGCTCCTGGTTAGGGGCGCCGCTCCCGAGGTACGGTCACCATGGCCGAAAGAAATCTCATCAAACTTTATGAACTGGCCGACTTGAGCAGTTGTAGGCATGGAACTCTCCACCGGCACAATCATGAGTAACCTCCCCTCCGATAAGGCTTGTCCGGTAAAGATCCACCGGAGAGAATCTACACATGGCTCCATCCTGAAGAAGGCCTCGCAGACCAGCATCACCTCCAGTTTGACATCACGCTCCGGGTTCACAGAAGGATCTATAAGTCCTCCCCCTCGCTCACTCTCTCTCTCACTTAGGAATCGCCGCGGCATTCAGGCATCCTCGGTGAGAAGGAAGAAAGAAGAGGGACAATAGTTGGAGAACAGGCAAAATACCGTGACGGAGAACCCTCTCCCTCCCCCTATTTAAAGGAAAAAGGTAAGCGAGCACGAAACTCTCCGCCTACCCCCATACGAATGGGAAATGATGGGACGCGCACTGACCGATGAAGTAACGCCGGGTCAGACGGAACACCACCGGGCAGGACGAAGCGTGGCCGGGGTATGCCCCACCACTATCGCACGACAAGGCGCGAAAACCGAAGCGCCATCGCACGCGGGTGGCTTCCCGCCTCCCCCAGGCCAGGCGAGACCTAAAACGAAATCTCCGCCAGAAGACCGACCGGCCCCATGAGTCGATCGAGTCGCTCAGTATCCACACCAGGACACAAGTAGGAAGCTAAGGGACGCCCCATATAGGCCATTACGACTCCGTCCCGAGCGACGAGCACGGGTCCCAGTCGGACGTCTCCGACTGAAGCTCTCCGAGCTCCGTCACTCCAGTCACCAAGGTAAACACTCTCAAAACCCCCTCTGTTTGTTTAAAACATTCATACATCCATACGCGCATTCATTTCATACGCCTGAACCCCCGAACGGTTAGGGCATGAACTGTCCGGGGGCTCGAGAACTAAAGCATCGCACGTGCAGCGAAATGCATCAGAACACTCCGTGTTGCGTCACGAAGCGGGGTTGCCTCATTCGATATGGGCAACCAACAAAGCCAGGGGAGAAAACCGTAGATGAGCACCGTGCGGCCCACACCCGGTCCGGCAGACTAGGTCATCTCAACCTTCTCGTTCGATCCTGAACCTCTCGCCAGGCCCACAGAATCTCCATCGAAGGGGAGGCCATTAGGCCACCTGGGTCGATCTCTAGAACGACATAGGCATCTGTCGGGTTGTAGGTAAAGGAGTAGTGGAATGTCACAAGAGGGCTATGCCGACCCCGTCACGAACGACGGACCCAGATTCCACTTGATCACACCCGTTAGTGAACTCACCGAGCTAGTCTTCGAGCCCGAGCGATCGGGACAGGCGACGAAACTCAGCCCCTTCGGTCGTGAGGAACCGAGGATGGGGTAACGCACAATACTCACATCGACCCCCACGAAGGCCCGATAGGGCTCGAGGGCTCAAGAAAAATGCCAAAGGACGGCGACCTCGAACTTGCTAGATCCACGACTCCGACTCGCCCGATCCCGCGGCGCGTACTGACTCCAGGGTCCGCGAGCATCACCTCATCCGATCTTTAACCAACTAACTACGCTTCGGCTTCAGACGACTTCACTGCGCACCAAAAAAATCTTGGGACTGCGACCCTGAATTCGCGTCGACAAGATCTTTGACATCCGGCTACGGCTCCTGGGACCGCGACTCCTAAACTCGCGTAACGGCTTCAGATGGCTTCACTGCGCTCCAATAAGACCTGGGACCGTGACTCCTAAACTCGCGTAACGGCTTCACTCAGGGTCCACGAGCTTCGGCTCGTCCGATTCCTGAACTAACTAAACTAACTCCTGCGATCCACGGCACGCACCGATGCCTGGGTCCATTCACGGTCCTACCTCGCTCGATCCCACGGCACGCATCGACGCCAAAGATCAATAAGCTCTGACACGACCGAGCCATCACCTTCCGTGGCACGCACCAACGCTAGCGGTTTCTCTGAACTAACCTTCTCACCCGATCAACGACACGCACCGACGCTAAGATCAGAAAGATTTGCCTCAAAACATGCACCTAAAAAATGCCTCAGCTACGCAACGACACCTTGATTAAACAAAACGTCTCAAAACTAAACATACACACACGCCCGCTAAGATAACACCCCCCAGCCGGTTCTACCCGAACCGCCCGGGGGCTCGGGGGCTATACCCGCGGGTGCGCTCGCGCGCACCCGCCGACACAACACAGAAAACCCCCCAGCCGGTTCTGCCCGAACCACCCGGGGGCTACACCCGCGGGTGCGCTCGTGCGCACCTGGCAGCAAGACAAAAATCCCCCGGACGATTCAGCTCAAATCACCCGGGGGCTCGGGGGCTCTTGTCGGGTTCATAAACCCAGGGTCCCTCGGGGACCGGCTTCGACGCCTGGGCTTGGCCTAAGAGAACAGCCTGTAGCTCATGGGCCAGCCCAAAAAGTCTAAAAAACAACGGGCCGGAGGGACAGACCGGTCACCGACCGGAAGGTCCACCGCAAGAACGAATGCCCGCTCGATAACTTCTTCGGCCCACCTCTCCGACCGGAGCGCTCGCCTCGGGCGCCGGCCGCCTCCGGGTGGACTCTCCGATCGGAAGGCCTGGCCCAAAACACTGCTTCCTACTCCGACCTCGCGTCTTCGACCGGAGACTCGTAGGAAGCCTGCTTACCGCTCTTCTTCGACTGGCATGACCAGTACAGACTGGAGCCATCTGACCGGGGATTCCCGCTCGGAAGGGACCAGGGGCGAACGGAAAAAGCAGCACACAAAGTCAAAACACGGTACCAGGACCATACCCTGTACGCCTGCAGAAACAGTGCTCCACAACCGACCTGACACAAATAGTATGGGAGGTACCAACATTTGTGTCTACAGTATTGTAGGCACCGACATTTATGTCTACAGTATTGTAGGCGCCGTTGGGGCTCTCGTACGGCAAAAAGGCCCCCCACATGTCTCTAGGCATTGATAGTGGGCACCAGGATTCACCATACCTGGTACACGTGGTGGGGCTCCTCATATACTAACAGCATTTCGCAGATACCGACGTCCACCCTTCATGAAGAAGCCAACGCAACCCCCATGTGCACCTGACATTCTACAGCGACATCAACAGTGTTATGCGTGCCAACCATCATCACTACCCTCATTCGGTGTGGGCAACAAGACTTAGAAACACCCGTACTCTCTCCCTCTCACTTGTAAAGCCATCTCCTTTATCTATAAAAGGGGATGCGCTTCCTCCAACAAAGGAGATTGATTTTCTAGAGGTCCACTTCTTCAAGCTCAGGCTCACTAGATCGATAGCTCAGAAACCCCTCAAGCACACGCTTGAACACCTAGCTCATAGCGGAGTTCCGGTCGCCCTCGGCCCTTCCGGTCGGACCCGACCGGGCCTCTCGTACATCCCTCCTTTCTCCTTCTCGTTTGTAACCCCACTACAGACTTTGAGCACCTGGGCTCAGGAATAAAGTAACCAACAGACCCACACTAGATGTAGGGCGCGTTGCCTGAACTAGTCTAAATCCTGTGTCATTGAGTGCTAGGCCACCTCCGATCACAACGTACAACAAAACTATAAATATTCATTAGTTGATCACTTTCTGTACCGACATATGGATACCAATACATTTGAATAAGAAAGATACATTTTGAAAACTACTGTATCTACTAGGTGAAAATATGGAAACAAATCATAGATGTAGCTTGTTATATGGGTCGTGGTTCGTGTCTTAGACTGACTCCAACCAATCACGCATAGTGCAACCCAAACCCAAAATGGGTTGTCTGCAGTGTTTTATCCGCATAAAACACGTCTCCAACGGAGGTGGCAAACGAGCGACGCATTTTGAGTGAGAGCCAACACGGGACACAAATAAGCGTCTTCTCCCAGTCCTTCTGCGTCTCCACGCTGCCGGAGCTCGTCTGTTCCCCACACGCACCATTTCCTCCCCCAAACCACCATGGACTTCTCCGCCGGCGGGAGCGAGGAGCTTCTCGGCGATCTCCAGCCAGCGCTTCGCCTGCGCCTGGACGTCGCGTGACCTCGTCGGCTGCAAGCGCTTCGCAAAGCGGGCGGTGGAGGCGGACCCGCTCCTCCCCGGCGCCGACGAGCTCCTCGCCATCTCGACGTCCTCCTCGCCTCCCAGTCCATGGGCCCCTCGGGCCACCCGGACTCGCTCGCCATCCTCCAGCTACCGCCCGGGGCCAGCCTCGACCACGCCGCCGTCTCCTGCGCCTTCCGCCGCCTCGCGCTCCTCCTCGGGCAACGCAACCCGCACCCGGAGGAGGAAGGCGGTCTCGGAGAGGTTGAACTCGGAGGCGACGGACTGCATCCACCGCTCGTCAGCGGCCTTGGCGGCGTCCTCGAGGAGGCACACCGCGGCGGGGTTGCCCTTGAACGGCTCCGCCGTGAAGGCATCCACCTGCGACGACCACGGCGACGATGTCAGGCCTCCTGCGAGGGAGATAAGAAAAGGTAGTATCGCTGCAAGAGAGTACAGAGCAGTATTACTGACCACTGCGTACTGGATGCCATTCTTGCCCATTCCTGCGACGAAGAAAGAGCTCCGGGCTCCTGGGCTATGGCCGCCGCCGGCTGCTGCTCCTGGCTATTTCCTATGCCTGTCTTCTCGTTTGCGTCGCCGGTTGGAAAAGAGTAGTTTTGGGTCCGGGATGTTTTCACTTTGGGTCTGGGATGTTTTTACTATGCAGTACCTAAACCATTGAATGCCTCTTGGTTTTAGGTCCGACTTGTTGGAGACAGTCTTATAGCTATACTCCTACTCTAATAAGTGGAGGAGCCCATCCCACAGTCCGACACTCATCATCCGCTCCAGGACCGCCCAATGCCATCGCCGCCGACGTCCACGGCAGCGGCGGCGGCGCAGCAGCTGGAGTCCCTCCTTCCGCTCCTGTCCACGCTCTCCCACTACAAGCAGTTCCACGCGCGCCTCCATGCCTTAGGCACGCTCCACTCCTACCCATCCCTCCGCGCGCGCTTCCTCGACCGCCTAGCGCTCTTGCCGCACGCAGACGCGCTTCCGCACGCGCTACTCCTCCTCCGCTCCCTCCCGTCCCCCGCAACCAACGACCTCAACGCCGCCCTACGCGGCCTAGCCGCCTCCCCGCACCCGGCGCGCTCTCTCCTCCTCCTCGCCGGCCGCCTCCTCCCTGCTCCCGCGCCGCCACGGCCTCGCCTCGATGCGCTCTCCCTCTCCTTCGCGCTGAAGGCCACAGCCCGATGCTCGGACGCGTTCGCCACACTCCAGCTCCACGCGATCCTCGTCCGCCTCGGTGTGGCTGCTGATGTCCGCCTGATGACCACGCTGCTCGACTCCTATGCCAAGTGCGGCGACCTCGCGTCCGCACGGAAGGTGTTTGACGAAATGTCCGTGCGGGACGTGGCCACATGGAACGCCCTGCTCGCAGGGCTGGCGCAGGGGACGGAGCCGAATCTCGCTCTCGTGCTGTTCCGCAGGCTGGCAGGGAGCTTTCGGGAGTTGCCGCCAAGGGAGGATCCAAATGAGGTGACTGTTGTCGCTGCACTTTCTGCATGTGCACAGCTTGGAGCATTAAAGGATGGATTGGCTGCGCACGAGTTTGCTCGTACAATAGGAGCTGTGGGCAATGTTCGTGTCTGCAACTCGCTTATTGACATGTACTCCAAGTGTGGCTCATTGAGCCGGGCTCTCGAAGTGTTCCATTCCATCAAGCTAGAAGATCGAACACTTGTGTCCTACAATGCTACAATTCAGGCGCTTTCCATGCACGGGCACGGGGAAGATGCACTGAAGTTGTTTGATGAAATGCCAGCTCGTATTGAACCGGATGAAGTAACTTACCTTGCTGTGTTGGGTGGGTGCAACCATGCTGGGCTTGTTGATGATGGGTGCAGGGTTTTCGATTCCATGCGGGTTGCTCCCAATATGAAGCACTATGGGACCATTGTGGACCTCCTTGGCCGTGCAGGCCGCCTTGCTGAGGCACATGACATGATTATGCATATGCCATTTCCAGCAGATATTGTCCTCTGGCAGACATTGCTAGGTACTGCCAAGATGCATGGTAATGTGGATCTAGCAGAGTTGGCTGCCACAAAGCTTGCTGATCTTGGCTCTAACGTTGATGGTGACTATGTGCTCCTGTCCAATGTATATGCGTCCAAGTCCTGGTGGGTGGATGTTGGTCGAGTCCGTGACACCATGCGAAGCAATGATGTGAAGAAAGTCCCTGGCTTCAGCTACACAGAAATAGATGGCGTAATGCATAAGTTCATTAATGGTGACAAAGAACACATGAGGTGGAGGGAAATATACAGAGCATTAGATGAAATTGGGTCAAGAATCTGTGAGCTGGGGTATGAGCCAGAAACGAGCAATGTGCTACATGACATTGGGGAGGAGGAGAAGCAGTATGCTTTAAGCTACCATAGCGAGAAGCTGGCCATTGCATTTGGGTTAATTTCCACACCACCTGGGGAGACTATTCGAGTGATCAAGAATCTCCGAATATGTGGAGACTGTCATGTGGTGGCAAAACTTATCTCTAAAGCCTATGGTCGGGTGATCATTATCCGGGACAGGGCAAGATTCCACCGGTTTGAAGATGGACAGTGTTCCTGCAGAGATTACTGGTAAAATGCTGGCACACTGGTCACTTGCAGCCCTACTAAACACAACATGTGCTCCTTGAGGAGAGTTCAAGTGATGCGACTGCATTTCTAGTCAAAATGAGGATGAAAGTATATAACATACTGACTCTTGATCACCATGTTACTGTTCAAAGGGCTCATCACATTAAAAAGTTCTTAGAAGATGCAAAGTTATCTGACTTGCACGAACTCCTGAGTTTGCCTAATAATTCGAGAAGTATCTTGGAAGCAGAACCAAAATATTTGTGACAACTGTGCAAGCTTTGAATTGAAGTTGCTCCACGACTGTTATCTATCTATATTCACAAGTCTACGAGGTTTGTGACAAACTGACAATGAAACATTTTTTGATATTGTTCACCTACAAACTCTAAGAGGTCGAGTGGACTATAGCTGCAAATATCATTGATGCATTACTTTTTCGTGAACATGCTTTATGCATGTGTTTCATTAAGAGGTTAGAAGAGTCGAGTACAGCCATGGTCAGCACATCATCAAGGAGCGTGAGTGGCAGGCCACAGGCGGACACTGTCCATACTGTCACCCGAGCGCTACTAAGATTACATAATACCTATCACATGGTCTAGTGAAAAATTGCTGCATTACTCAGAACTTGGAAGAATGTTGAGGTGCTTGAATAATGAGTTAACAGAGTTTTGACGTGTAGAGCTGAGTTTTTCTGCACTATTGTACCATTAGAGTTTTGCTCATGAATTGATTTTTTTATTCATTTCAGATTCAGTTGTCTGAAATTTGGGTCTGAAAAAAATATGCATCTTAGTAGTCGATACTTTCCATGCTTTTTTCTAGACTACTTGATCTTGTTGTAAGCCTATGTTACTAAATGGAACCAAATCAATTTGGTACTGCTCTGAACATGACCTTACCTGCCCTATTCCTCTGCTAGGATTATTGATGCATCTGTCTAGGTATTGTCATCAAGTTCTACAAAAAATTCATTGCCGTTCACTTATATTAGCAGAGGACAGGAGGGATGGGGCTGACACTTGACAACTTTCATCAGTTGGTATGAAATTTATGCTTGCAAAATGGAGTCATCATTTGTAGTTTGATGTTTTTATTTTTGAATCATCCTTTTGAAATTTCAAGATTGGCGTATTTATTCTCTATCTACTCTATGACACGTGTAAACATTATGTTCCTTATTTCTTACTCGCTCACTCACTAATCAAATGTATCACGGGCAGCAACTTCATCGGTTTTGGAAAACCCAGGAGTTGAAGTCCAAGTAAACGATCTAAAAAATGCATCATTAAAATTTAAACAAATCACTGAACCTGGAAGGGATCAGATCAATGGTGGAAAGAGCGACACAAAGGCCACAGAACGGTGTGTACCCTCATGCATATTGCTGTTGCAGTTGTATGAAGTCACGTGCACATTTTTTTTGTTCCTTGAGTTGAGGTTCTGAAAGTTCTAATGTGTAGGACTTTCAGTAAAAGGGTGTGAAAGATGCCGGATCAGCAGCTAAGGAATTGATGCAATAGACAGAGAAAATGGCGAAAATGTTAGAATACTTGAGGATACAAGTCATTTGAGGCAGGACAAGTCATCCGAAGGAAGGCGCAGGTCTGGAAGGTTAAAATGCATTTGGTGCACTTCCGTGGTGCCCAACCTTTCTTTAAATGATGAGAAACAAAATAGGGTTCTTAGATTATTTTTTCTATGCTTAATTGTTGTATTTGCATGAAAAAAATTTGGTTCCCCTCATCTCCTAGTTTGACCCATTTAATTGTCCCTCTTCTGCTATTTAGTAGAGCAAGGAGCTTGTTATTTAGTATTTCCTTGAAATTCCATTCTTGTAAAGACAAATCTCTGAATTCTTCAAGTATTTCTAGAAAAGACAGGGTCAGCTTTACATTTGAAATATTTGAAGCTAGACTTGAAAGATGGGCTTGCCAATGATTATCTTAGACCAATGATTATCATACTATAATTTCATTGTACTATCAAGAGTCGATGTTTAATTGCTTATATTTGTTAAGATCAAAACATGAATTGTATTCTAATTGTTCATGCTCTATGAAAAGTCATGTAACGTTGATGATTGACTATAAACGGAATGTTGCGAATATCACTCTCAAAGTATCTTTTTTAAAGTAATAGTATAACACATGTTGAAACTCGAATTGTCGTGAAATTATTTTTTCCTTGTTGCAACATATGATCCTAGTATAAATTAGAAAGAGTAACATGCGCGAGTGGCCCTTAAATTGTCTTGTGATGTTATTTAAGTCCCTGGACTCTCAAAATGCATTTTTGAGGTATCCAAACATATCTTGGATGTCCTCTAGGTCTAGAACTCTTAAAATTTTAGTTTGAATGAACTTGCCACAGTGTGCCATCTAGGTCCAAACAAGCTTCAATTAGCCCACATTTTAGTCTCTAGTGCTCTATCTACATACTCTTTCTCTCTTTTTGTTCCAATCTAATATGGCATCACACAACCCATGCCTTCATTATCCTCCACATCAAAAGCTATAGTGCCATCTATAGTGGTGGCAGCAAGATCAAAGCCAATGCTCCTTAGTCAGAAGAGGTAGGCGAATGATTGCTTTGCTATTAAGTTCCTACCCTAGTCAATTATGAGGTATGGATCCAATCACTGTAGCATACCACGTCATGATGTGGAGTAGATTGAGTCTTTTTTGGATCTAATGAACACACTATGGCAGGTTTAAAGACCCAATTGATATGCTGTGACAAGTCCCGGGCTTAGTAGCCATGTTCCCACAAGGGAATGGGAACTTGGGGTATCATTTTATAACGTGGGAACATAAATATTTCCGAATCGGAGACATGGATGTTTTTGGAACGACGTTCTGGAACGAGGAACGTGGCCATGTTTCACGTTCCCGGCTGCTAAGGTTGAGGACCTAAAAATAGTATTTCAAAAGTGTGGGATCTAGACGCACGTAATGACAAGTTTGATGATTACATAAAATGCATTTAAGAGATTAAATGCATTTAAGAGATTGAGGATCGGAATGACTCCCGAGGACAAATTGATGGACCATACATGTAATTCTACTTAATTAGAAATGTTGCTCTGAGGCTAATCTCAATGGGAGTTTCATAAAGCTTCATGGACATTAAATACACTGACATGACACTGCATTGATGAAGAGAGATGATGAAAGTTTTATGAGAGTAGAGAGAGTTTTATGGGGATAAAACTCTTCTGCCCTGTTTCTAAAATATGGGCGTGTTGGGAACTGGGCCATGAAACCCCACTGAGAATGACCTTATGCAGTACTTCCAATCTATCCGCTTTGGGTTAAAAAAAAAATCTATCCACTTTGGTGCTTTTCTGCTTGTGAACTTCTCGATCTTATATTTAGCAGATCACCATTCATCAGATGTTTTTTCATTGCAATTGCAACTACAGCCAGACCATGGTGCTACTCTGCTAGAGCTACATTTCTACTGTCCACACCCACACTTCACAGTTCCATGCCAAGGCAAATAATATGTTTAATTCAGATGGAGAGAGCCTCAGGCCTTGTTTAGATCATCCGTCAAAACTTTAGATCATATCACATCGAATGTTTAGACACATGCATGGAATTTTAAATATAGATTAAAAAATAACTAATTGCACATATTACGACTAATTTACGAGACGAATCTTTTAAGCCTAATTAGCCCATGATTTGACAATAAAGTGCTACAGTACACATATGCTAATGATGGATTAATTAGGCTTAATAAATTCGTCTTGCGGTTTACTGACGAATTCTGTAATTTGTTTTTTTATTAGTATTCGAACATGCCGTATGATACACGCCCCCAAATTTTACACCCACGGCGTGCACGGTCCCATCTTCCATCCTCCCCGAAACTGCGGCCCAGCTAACAAACTTCCGGTGCTAAAAAAAAAGAAGCTAACGAACTAACGAAGTCCCAAGTCCCAACCCACACTGGCCGGCGAGCCGTGCGTTCCCCGTGGCCTCACGCCACAGCCCAAGCCCAAAGTTGTCAATCCACCAGGCACCACGCATGCCGGCATGCGCGAATCCGGGGCCTAGCCCGCTCGCGGCCGCGAATCTCTCCTCGCCTCGCCTCGCCCCGCGAGGCGCGATGCATCGCGCGATGCGGCTGCGCTGCCTCCTGCGCACGCTGCTCTGGCGCGACCGCCGCTAACCCCGCGGCAGCGTCCAGCGGTGGGGATAGCGCCCTGGTGAGGAGGCTCGGCGCGTCGCCGTGGCCGTGCGGCAAGAAGCGGCGGCTGTGCCGGTTCTACAGCTCGAAGGAGGGCGTCGGCAGCGCGGCGGCGGCGGGGAGTGGCCGCGGCGGCGGCGGCAGCAGAGAGCAGGAGCACGCGCGGCTCGGGGAGAGGGATCAGCAGGAGTGGCTCAGCGGCGAGCGGTTCATCACCGGCTGCAAGCGGCGGGAGTCGCCGTTCCTCACCAAGCGGGATCGCTTCCGCAACGAGTTCCTGCGCCGCGTCGTGCCGTGGGACAAGACCGGCGTCTCGTGGAACAGCTTCCCGTACTACGTCGAGTAAGCACGGGCACGGCTGCACACATCCTGTTTGCTGTTTTGTGCGCGACGAGGTTTAACTCAGTTGCATTGTGTGTCCTTTGTCTTGTCAGTCAGAATGCGAGGCAGCTGCTGAGCGAGTGCGTGGCATCGCACCTGCGGCACAAGGATGTAGCTCTGGAGTACGGTTCAGGGCTTCAGTCCTCCAGTGGGAGGATATTGCTCCAGAGCTTGCCAGGTGCTGGTCGAGAATGGAGCTGATGCTTCATCAATATACGTTTCCATCCGCTTATATGGATGTTGAGATTTTTCTTGGTTGCTATAATGCAGGGACTGAACTCTACCGCGAGAGATTTGTGAGGGCTCTTGCCAATGAGTTGTGTGCACCATTATTGGTTCTGGACAGCAGTGTTCTAGCACCATATGTAATATAATCTGCCCCATATATTAGAAGTCTTATGAAGATCTAAGTTTGTGGTTGAACCTAATGCCTGACCTTGTAGGATTGTGCGAAGACTGTTCAGAGAGTGAGGGAGAGGATAATCATTCAGAGGTAGAGGATAAAGGTTCAGAATCAGAGGTCGATGGTGAAGGTGATGAGGAATCCGCTGAAAGTGATGATGACGATTCTATTAAATCGGTGGCAGACCTAAAGAAGCTAGTTCCATGCACTCTTGAGGAATTTGCCAAGGTTTCTTTTCTATTAGTTGTCAAACCATGCAAAATAATGACGTTTGATGATTCTTATGTGTTTCTGGCTCTTTCATTCTAAGTAGTAGAAAATAAAGTGTTACTTATTACCTTAAAAAACGAGATCCAACCTAGACTACATTTTGCAAGTAGCTAATTCTGCATTGATACCTGTGACTACATTTTGCAAGTAGCTAGGGCACTTGTTATGTGCTAAGTTCTGTGCTAATTCTACATTGATACCTGTGACTACATTTTGCAAGTAGCTATTTCTTCTCAGGGCACTTGTTAGGCTAAGTTCTGTTGTACTGCTGTGAGCTAATGTGTTGTGTCATCAAAACAACAACAAAACAACAACAACAAAGCCTTTAAGTCTCAAACAAGTCGTGTCATCAAAATAAGTTGGACCTTATTTTATTTGTTACCAATATTCCGTGCTTTCGATAATGCATGTTAGCACATACCCAGTCACACTCTATTGTTACTCTTTTAGTCTGTTAAGGTGAACCCAAGAATCCTACCTTATGAAGAAACACTTCACTATACTGTAGTAATGCACCTATACCATGCAGCCAACTTATCCCTGCATGTGGAAAGTTTCAGTTTTTGTACAAAAGCTTTTATTATGAGGTAGCTACAGAGTGCAGTTGTACCGTTTAGTTTTACATGCTTTCTACTCACTCCTGTGAAACCTGAAATTCAGGCTGGACTTGTTAGTAGTTATTACTTACAGAACTTACAGAACTATGAATGAAGGCTGAAGCCTGAGGGCATAGACAAATTAAACCTTTCTCATTATTGTTTTCAGGAGATAGGGTCAAGTACATTGGAGCATCGGTGGTTGTTGAAGCAGATAATAGGTACCTGTTGGAAGTTATGTATTCTCATTTTGGTTTTATGAACCACCTGTCTTTTGAAATCTTTTTCATTGCTATCTTTGGATCTGTCTAGTCTCTCTCCTCTTAATGAAACATGTGCATAAAGCACGTTCGCGAAAAAAAAGATCTATCTAGGCTACATATTTATGGGAAATTCAATTTACTTGCTCCCTATTTTCTTCCTGAACAGAACCGATCACATTGTTTCAAGGATCTATGGCACTTGAAATAAATAAATCCTGCTATAATAACGTGGAATTGCATAATATTTTCCCCATCTGATAGGCATTTCAATGTGGTGGTCTGTGTTTATTTGTTTGTGTGTTTGACTGTTTGTTCGTTTGGATACACTCCAAACAGCAGGCATACATTTGTGATCTTATGTGTCAACATGTGCGCATCTGTAACACTCGGTGTTACACTGTTCTGTTTTTACTAAAACACTGCATGAGCATTAACTTGTGTGTAAATGTGTGTACTATAGGGTATACATCGATATTCGGAACTTGAAACGTTCAGTTGAAACAAGAAACAAATGTTACATTTCATGTCTCTTTGTATCGTTTAGGGTTCTAAGTAAATTTTTATCAAACGGAAATGCTATGGAACGTATCGTCGGAATGTAGTAAGCTGGTAGCCGAACTTCGTAGGTGATGATGAAATATGTGCGGTCGAGGACGAGTTTCGCTAGCAAGTATATCAAATAGCTCGGAAATGGAATTCGACGCGAAACCGTTCGAGGTTCAGTCATTTCGCGCAAGCCCGAAAGTGGGTCGACAAAGCCATGTTCGACGATTTTTGGAGAGCGATCGGGTTAAGAGGTGGCATAATGTTTTGGCCTAATTCGATAGCCCTAGGTACTCTCTTGAGGGTAGGATAATTGGTTTGACCTTTGAATCGTCGGGTTTGAGTTTTTGAACGGCTTTAAAATGCGTGCAAGTCACAGTTTGAAATGGGCCGTCGCTGGCCGCGGTCACCACCTCTGCTCGGCCTGGCACCGCTGCTGGCCGCCCAGTGCGCTGCCGCGCCGGCCGCGTCCTCACTGCCGCCCCGGTGCAAGCACGCCCGCGCGCATGGCCCTTGCGCTGTTGGCCACGGCCGCCTGCCACCACGCGCTGGCGTGCAGCTCACACCACCACTGCTGGCGTGACGTGTCTGAGACGCCGCCCGTGCCCTGCCACGCACTGGCCAGACTTGCCGCCAGGTCCCGCGCTGCAGCTCGGGCTGTCGTGGCTGCCCGGCACACGCACGCACGCGCACTGCGCCGGTGGTCCTGGCAGCTCTGCCTCGCCGTCGCGTCGCACGGTACCCCACTCGCGATGCGCACCGTCCATCGCCACGCGCGGCACTGCTTCCGTTGACCCGCCACAGTTGCGCGCGCGTGGGACGGCTGCCTACTTCGCCAACGCGTCAGTGTCCGTTGCCACGCTACGCCATTGTCTCCCCTGCCCTGCCAGCCTCTGCGGCGACAGCGCCGAATCGACGTGCCTACCTTCCCCTGTTCCTTTGTCGCCGGGCCGCGCCGAGACGGCACGCAGCGTCGGCCAGGCAGTGAGATTGTGTATGCCTTGGGATGGAGTGAGTACTTAGCCACACGCCGAAAGCGTCCATTATCGCAGAACCGACCAATTTATAAGAGTACAAGTACAATGGCAGCCCGCAAGCGGTCGCACTGTCATACTTGAACCCATATAAACCCGGTAGTCCGTCGAGTACCACGACGGGTCTCGATAAACGATTTACAACAACCAAGATCGTACAGGATTCAACATACATGCCACATATTACATAAAGTTCACAGATACATTTCATCATCAGAGTACGAATAAAAGTTATTACAAACCGAGTTTGATAGATAAAAGCGGAAGCAAATTAAGTTTGAAAGTAACGTTTCCAACATAGTTTAATACAGTGCCAAGATACGATCACGGTCCACAAAAGCATGTAGAAGGATTAATAAGAAGCCTGCCCAAGGCTTACTCCTCATCCACAATGGGATAGAAGCAACTCTTGCAATAACCATGATATACAATTGCCATCTCAACATGGAAAATAAAACCACGAGTACGAGAAGGTACTCAACTAGACTTACCCGCCAGAACCGTAAATAAAATGACTCCAAGGATTATGCAAGGTTGTATAAGTGGAGATAGCTTGACAACATTTTGCATGAAAGCAAATGACTTAATGTACACTTAGGATTCCTTTATCAATTATTTATAACTATCCATCTCTAGATTAGCAACTATCCTGTGCCAAACATGTGGTATATCAATTGAGAAGCATACAATAGTAACCATAGCGGTATTGTAATTCCATATTCATTCGACCCATCATGTTTCATAACACGATTACTACGATGTTGGAGCTAGCCAAGTTTCTCACTATCCGGGAGAGACGGCGATTCAATCGATTTCAACCACCGGGAATTTATTCCTAACACAAACCCAGTCTACCACCGCCACGATAGCCTTAGGTCACCTTTGGTACAACTCAGTACACATTTCATGGGTCCGTACCACGCCGCACAATCTGAAACACCGGATGCCGGGATGCTCGAGCCTAGCTCGCCTTGGGCTCTCGATCGATCGTTCCCGGAAGGAGCGCACAATGTAACGGGTCCCGCACTCAATTGAATTACTCGCCCAGCGGTCGGAACGAGTTATCCGCCAGCTAAGTGAGAGGCATACGTTCAATCTTGTCAGAAGTTCCAACAACGGTACGGTCCTTGATCGACACAGACGGGGATAGATCCACACCCAAGACCTCCATGTCTTGTTGCTTCTCTATCGACATCCCGCCCGGTCTCCATTTACATTAACCATGGTTCTTTTTCATGATAGCAATTATAACCAACCGTGCTCCGGTATCCACCTATATCTCGCAGGTGACAGGAAATCACCCGACTTCTACCGGTCTAAGCATGGCTAAGCATATATTCGATCCTAGACCTATACCGGTTAAAGGTGTAATAGCTGGACAAGGAATGTATATGCATCAAGTGGTTCCATTCAACTCTTATAACCTAATGCATCAATCATAAGTACTTAAGTAATCATTTATAAAATACTGGGAGACTTAGAATGCTCCGGGGCTTGCCTCGCAGGAAGAAAGTAGGGCGGTGATCAGGACACTCCGGAAGCTCTTCAGGATTCTGCTCCACGCCTTCGGGAGCTGTGGCTTGCGGATCCTCCTGCTAGTCCCCTTCCTCTGCTTCTTCGAATTCCAGCAACGTTATTTCTTCCTCCGATCCTAGATGCATGAATATGGAATAAGTATTACGAATGCATATATGTTATCAAGTGCATCATGTTTATTGAGTAGGTGCATATCTCTTCTCGATTATTTAATTAACTACTTCCACAATGCATCGACTATACCACAAAACAACAGCTACTTGTTTCGCTCATAACTGGAGCTCTACTAATCCAAATACAGTGATCCTAGACTTTCTGGAAAGCTTATCAAATTATCTACAACTTTGTTATTAACCATTTTTACAGCAAACATCATCTCTATCATGCAACTTAGCAAACTCCAGAATCTGTCCGGAAACTATTCCAATTCGCATTATAAAGTAACAATACTTCTACTTCATATAAGTATTCAAATCTTTACGACCAAAAGTCTACCAGCAGTTTAAGCATACCAAATACATCTAAGAAAACATAATGGTGAAGCCCAAACTATTTATTTAAATGCCTTTATTATTTTATTTGAACCCCTAGGTTAAATAATAAACCTATACCAAATGTGCATCACAAATTCTCAGAAAATTACAGTGGCTTACTAGTGCTACCAATAGACTACTGTAAAAATTTCATGCCATTTTGCCAAGTAGAACATCCTATACAAAAATGACAAGGCAGCAATGCTTGAAATAGCATAATTAGAAAACCCTATTGAAAAGTGTTAAGCAATAGATTTCCTAATTTTCTTAGCATCCATATACTACTAGTATACCCTCCAAAAATTTTCATGAGTATTTG